TGAGCATCATAGAATGCCAATTTAATAGAAGAAAGTATTCTTGCATTGAGGGAGTACTTGAGTGGAGGCCCAATGTCCTTCTGCTACCTTAATAGAGACGAGGAAACCTGAGCACTTGTGAGGGGGAAGAAAGGAGCTCATCAAGAGGCAGAGACTCAGGACACATGTACAGGCAGGGCACGGTGCCAGTGCGTAATGAAAGGATGAACGTAGGGCTGGGGATAAGGGTGAGCCCAGGACAGGTGACAGGAGGGAGAGGTGTGTGGAGGTGGAGAGAAATGGCTTTCAGGAACAGAGGCATGACATGCTGTTGACATCAGCTTAGACGGATTTTCTAAAGCGAAGGGATTTGTCTTATCTTTTGAGGAACTGAAAATTTAGAATGCTAAAAGGAAGAATAAAACTCATTTCATTGATTTCTTTTAGTCTTATCCACTGTTAAAAAAAAAAAGAAGAAGAAAAAGAAACGATTTCACAGAGAGTCCTCCCTCCTCACTTGCTAAAGAGAGCCTGCTCTCCGGGGGAACACTCTCGTGATGTTTTCAGGCTCGTTTGTATTTTCACTAGCTCTCCTTATAATCAATGAATGTGCCATAGAGACACAAATGACGAGCTGATATCTGGCTGTCCTTACATTTGTGCTCAGGCAATGGAGAACAACTTAAAAAAAATTTTTTTTCAGCCCAAGCAGCAAAGGGGTTATTTCCTTGGCTTACCATCCCTTACTTTTTACTTTTATCTGGGTGAACAGATTGGTATCCTACAGGTTTGGAAAGTGCCAGATGAAAAGCAAATGAAGGGAACGAGGAGGAGGGTAAGCAGAGTTAGCGCAGAGCTGGACAGGAAGACCCCGCCCCCAGGGACCACACGGCCAGCTTTACCTGAATGATGGTTCCAGAAGATGAGGACGCTCTGTCTTCCTCCTTGTCCTTGTCATGCTCCGAGAGGAAAGACCAAGAACCGGAAGACGGCTCTGCTTTCTTACCTCCATGCTAACACAGAGACCAAATCATTACCAAGGAGCAGCGATTTTTCCCTCCCTCAGCCAGCATCCCACCCCTCTTATTCATACAAGACTCATCTTCCCAGGCGGTGCACCGGTGGCCCTCAATCCCACCCCTCCTCCGACTGCTCATTTACGTCTTCTTTCAAAGCTGTGGTGACTCTCTCTGTAGCCTAGCAAACGTTTGAAAGTTGGGAGCCAGCTATCATCAACAGTAGAAGCAATGAAAAAGATGAAAAATCAAACAAACTGCGTTCCAGGAATTTAGCCGACTTTAGTAAATATAACTTTAAACATTAAAATGACAGTGTGAGGGCCATGTTTTTTTGGGTGGGGGTGGGGGTGGGTCAAAGATAAACTATAGATATTATAAACCTATCAGCTCAGAGGCAAATCAGCACCTATCTCACGCTGAAATGCATGCACCCATTTGGGCCCTGGCACCTCCTTCAATCTCCTAATTCTCTCTACCACACTCTTGCACTTCCAAAGTCTCGCGCATCCCACTGCGGCTTCCTCCCCTGGGAACTCAGAAGCTGGGAAAACCCACGGCCACTGAGTCCATTCTGGCCCCGTGCATTGCAGAACAGAATGGCTCTCCAGGGTTTCTTGGCTGTCGTCTTTATAGAAGCAGACTGCCAGGCCTTTCCTCTGCAGTGCTGCTGGGTGGGTTCGAACCACCTGCCCTCAGGTTAGCAGTCAATTGCAAATTTCTTGTGCCACCCAGGGTCCTTACCAAAGCGGTCTGCTCTGTCTGACAATGGAACTGTTTGAGGATTGATAAAAATGAGCATTAAATATCGAAGGGTTATACGAGAAGCCTTCAAAAAGTTTGTGGGCATATAGAATTAAAAGATCATGGGACTTTTCCATGAGCCTTTTGAAGCCAACTCATATGTGAGACATAAAACTATCAGTTGCTGGAATTCTCTCTCTCTTTTGTAGAAGACCCATTAGTTTTGTGCTTATTCAGGAAAAAAAAACCTTATTGTAGTGAAATAGAGCTAACAAAACGTTTCAACCACTGCGACATAAAAGCCGCATTCACTACGTTCACCTGCTGTGCAAACACCATCACTTCCCATTTCTAATTTTTTTTCATTACACTGCTTAAAAATGCTGTACTCTTTAAGACATCCTTTCCCTATTTCTCCTTCTCACCCGTCCCAGGTGAGACGGGTCTTGGTCTCAAGGACCTTGGTCTCTATAAGCAACTGTCTATTCGGGAGAGCAGCTGGTTTTTGAAGCAAGAGCTGGAAGCCGACGTCAGGAAAGACAACTCTAAGTGCCTCTGTTCACGAGTTGCAGGGAAGCAGTAAGACTCGGCAGGATCAGCGCAAACACAACGCTTCATGTCCTCGGCAGAACCATTTCAGTCAAAAACAAGAAATTCACTCTGGGAAAAATAAAGTTCCAGACACGAATGACCAGGAGTGCTGACTAGCACGCTCTGAAAATGTCAGAGACAGTACGTACTCACAAGTCAGAACATAACAAGGACCTCACCTCCTCCCTCACGCCAACAAGTAAGTGTGTCTGAATTACATCCGTCCTACTTTTAGGGTGCTGAAGTAGTTTTAGAGACACTTGAAAAGATCAGCCCTAATTTATTTTTCTAATCTCTAGGTTTCTATTCATTTTTAAGTTCTTTTGATGGGCCTTCTCCTATAAGCAACAGACTTGAACGCATAACCCACTTTAATGTGAAAACCAGAGTCCTTACTTCACTCTTCACGGACCCTTCCTCCGCCTCTTCGGCGACGGCAGGCAGCAGGGACATGGAGCCCGCTCTGTCCAGCTGAAAGGCACAGCACACGCACCCGGGCGGGCAGTCAGGCGGCCGCTCGGCAACCCGCGCTCCCGGCCCGGCTACATGTCTGCAGAGCTAATTTTTTACTAGTTCTGTCCGAGAGGCCCGCCCACAGCAGCAGCCTCCGCGTCCTGCACCTTTTTGCACATCATGCAGCCACATGCCTGTTTTTCCCCAATCTTGTTGTCAGGTGCCATCAAATCTTAGATCTTTTCGCCTGGATGGCCTCCCACCGTCGCTCATCCAAATGATTCAAGACTGTGATTCATGGCCGTGGATTAAGCACAGCCTTAGAGGAGACAAGCTGTACCCAATTTTGAGTCTGCAATGGGCCCCTGACTTCAATAGGAAGTGACTTCAGACGGTGGGGCTCCCATCTACCTGCCCGTGGAATTTCATAAGCCACTTGGGCACAAGAATTCTGGACAGAGTCCAGAACACACCCTGAAGACTTCGATTCGCTAGTTAACAATCTCAAGTGGAGTTATCTCAACTTTCAAAATTCCTTAACTGCACAGAATGTGGGCTCAAATGCCACAGGCCTTTCAGGGGAGAATCTAACCTTCAGCCACACTCACCTTCCAATCAGAAGCCTCCCTCTTGGCCACGCCACCCTCTTCGGGCGCAGAAGCTGACAGCGTTTCTTTCTCGGATTCGTGTTGCTCTTGCTTCAGATGCTGGTGAAGGCTCAGTACCGCCGTCTTCAAGTTCACCAACAGCTCTTCTTTTTTCTGGTTTAGACTCAGAATTTGCTCTTCCAGGCTGTTGATTTCTCCCTGTGAAGAAAACCCGTTTGCTCTGCTTGGGGGCGTTCGGGGTCCTTGGTTGTCCATCGGTGCCTGTGTCGTTGGGTAGACAGGATGAAACTTTTGCTACGCTGCTGCCGGGTGTGCAGAGCTGAGTGTACATCCCTGGCGCCCTGGAACACCACTCCTGGCTTCGTTTCCAAATAGCCTGCGGAGGTTATATAACCGACAGGATGCACGAGCCCCACCCAGAGCCTTGTGAATGAGAATCTCTGGGGCTTGAACTGAGGCTGGAATTTCTTCTAACAAGCCTCACAGGTGGATGTGCTCTGTGGCCCAGGCTGGGAGCCACTGCTCTCTTGTCTGCAGGGGACTGACGGGATTGGATCCAGGCAGCCAGTCCCAGAAACCTGCTCTTCAATCAGTTCCTTCTTAAGTACTGATTCTTAAGGAAGTTTGCATTTAGGAATCACTGAGAAAAAAACAACCCAGGTTTGAAACCTCACACTTTCATTATTGCCTCTGAAGCCATCATTGATATTACTAAATTCTTGGCTTTTTCTCAAAGTCAAAGCCTCCTGACAAACTCACTGCTATTGAGGCAATTCTGATTTATAGTGACCCTATAAGACAGGGTTGAACTGCCCCCGTGGGCTTCTGCAACTGCATCTCTTTACAGGAGTAGAAAGCCTTGTCTTTCTCCCAAATGGGACTAACTAAACAAACAGCAGTGACACTGCGGAGTGTCACTTATTGTAGAAATGAGGAACAAATGATTCTAAGTTTTATAATGCTACTTTAAAAAATGTCTTAAAAGGGGGATGGTAAAAAAGAGAAAAAAATGTCTTGAACCTGGTAGATATGCAAACCATTATTCAAGGAGGATTATGGGAGTATAGAACCCTGACTGGGAAAAAAAATTCCAGCTGTCACCCAGATAAAGATGTTTGTCTCTCGCATCTCTGATACAAGCCATTCAACTTCTGCCCAAACTCTAACCTGCTCCTTTTTAGGAAATCTTCATTATCAGGAACGACTGGACTTTTGTTCCTAGTAAGAGGAGGGCTTGAAAATGTTCATGGAGAAATGGAATGAGAAAATAATGGAAACTTTCCATGAAGCCTTTGAAGCTCCTGCCGAGATTCCTTAAACCTCTATTTCATCTCTGTTCTTAGAAGAATGGAGGGTAAATTCTAATCCCAGGATACTTTGCCTGCCATTGCTTTTGTGTCATCAAGGCAATGTCACCCCAGTGAAAGAGGCAAGTGATGTTTTAGGAGCCGTGTGAACAATCTTGACTTCAGGCTTGTGATCACTTTGAGAAGCACTGCTCTTTGCCATACATGCCCCATAAAACTATGTCTCGGCAGTCCACTGGGAGACTAAGTCTTATTCTAATGGATGTAGTATTATTTTGGGGAGATCCTGCACTTCTGAAATTTAATGTTTATTGGAAATGGAACATAAGCCACAGGCAACTTAGACTTAATTCAGAAAACTGTCATTTTCCCCAAAGCAATCGCAGGAATTTGGGCTTCAGGCCAAATAATAGCATTGAAAGAGGAATGTATTCAGTAGCAGAAGGGCCAGGGCTAGGAGCTGATAGCCCTTATCTAAGCCATGTCTCTGAGTAGTTGCAGCTATCTTAACATAACCGTTATATTGGTAGTTATTGTTCACTACTTTGTACACAAAGTTGTAGTTATTGTGTTTTTTTAAGTCACTTTTATTTTAAGAATGCCCTCTATGCAGAATGTGTCTTTGTAATATTCTGTATCACAAAATGGGAAGTAGGTAGGAAGTACTGCTGCATGCCAAAGGATGATGGTTGAGGAAAAGTATTTGTGTGACTATTTGAGTTACCAGCTGAACTAGCCTTCCTCTTCTTGAAATACCATTTTAAAATAACAGCTGGCAAACAGTACTTATACACTTAAATATTAAAGAATTTTTCAGATGAGACAGGTGATGTGGTAGATGTGATTTTTATATATCACCTAATGAAATTTGGATGATCTGCATAACTTAGTGTAAGAATATTTTACAAGTGATCAAGCTTAGTGTTATAAAATCATACACAGGTGGAAGAACTATCCAAAGCACAAGATCAACCAGGAGGGTGCAATGTAACAGTATGAAAAGTTGTTTGACCTTGCCTCAAGTTCTATTTTATAACTACTTTAACCAATGAGCAAGGACCACATGTAGAGGCTAAGTGTAGTTTCAAAGAAGAATGTCCACAACTACTCAAAAATAGCTGCTGAAATCTTCCTCCCCCTCCTTTTCAACTAATTATCAGTGTAAAGCAGGCTTGTCTTTGTATATTTGAGGCAAAATTACTTCAAAGGATTGAAGCAGAAGCAGAGGAAAATCTAGTTGACCCCTCTGAAGTCAGATACTGAAAGAATTTGCAAAGATGTATAATTGTGGGATTCTTCCCACAACTTTTAGTTTTGGGAAATTGCTATTTTCATTAAAGTGTTATTTATATTAAAATTTAATGGCTTCCTTATTACTTAAAAAACCAAAAGAGATATATTTTAACTTGCTCAGTTTTAATTTCCACATTGAGAGATACAAGCAATATTAAAAAAAAAACTATTTGGCATTCGGGATAATTTTTGAGTTAAAAGAGAAATTTTACATTTTACAGTCATTAACACTCCATTAACGAGTCCACCGCTTACGAGCTGTGTCACCTTGGACCCCTTTCTACTTCACGTTAAGTGTTAACCATCTTGTTACAGTTCTCCCTTGTTTTGATCACCAACCAACTGCTTCCCTACATCAACTTCACGGCAGGGAAAACGCAGCTCTCTCAACGTCCCTGGCACACAGTCAGGCTTTTTCATTATAGACACACTAATTCAAAAACAGCCTGAAAAATCTCTGGGGGCAGAGGGTTAGCATACAAACCGTAACTGGGTCTACAGGGCATTGTTAAGTATGGTATGACCCAGGAGACATGTACACACTGCTTAGCATACAGAGTCTTCGCTCTAGCAGTGTTCAGGATCTTACCTCGAAAGGGCCAGGCTCCTTTCCAGAAAGCTAGCTGGCTATGGCTAGCTACTAATAGCTATGGCTTCTCAATCCCACCCACCGCCCAAAACCACCTCCAACTCATTGCTGTGGCATCAATTTTGACTCCCAGTGACTCTATATGGTTTTTAAGACTAGAAAATCTTTGACGGGAAGAGACAGCCTCATCTATCTCTTGCGGTGCTGCTGATGGGCATGAACCTCAGACCTCTTGGTCAGCAGCCCAATACTCATTGCATGATTTCTTACAGCTATAACTTTTAAAATAACTATGACTAGATAACCAAACTTTATGAAGTAGGAATGGAGAAGAATGACATGCAAAAAATACCTTCAAATTGAATAGTCAAGTAAGCAGGGTACTGTACTACCACAAAGGCTTATAAACCCCAAGAGTCTAGTACATGATTGTTAAATGAACTGAAATGTGGATGAATAAATGAAAAAAAAAAAACCAACATACCTGTACCTGTGGCAAGTTGGCAACTCTGTCTGGTGACACACGTTCAGGGGAAAACTCAGCTGAGTAATTATTTAAGGTCTCTTTCAACTGTTCAATTTCTCCATCACATTCATCAATCTGCTCTGTGGCTATCTATAAAGTACCAAAAACAGAGAGAAGAGAATCTTGACATACGGGCTCAGGTCTAAATTGATGATTATTTCGAATATCTAACCTCCCTGGGTGACCCAAAGTGAACACACTTTGCTACTAACTGAGAAGTTGGAAGTTTGAGTCCACCCAGGCCTGAAAGTCCACGCCCCTAAATGAACGGTTTCAGCAGAAAGGGCCGGCAATCTGCTTCCAAACAATTAGTCACGGAGCACAGTTCTACTCTGACTCATGGTGTGTGTGTGGGGGGGGTGGGGGTGGGGGGCATCACCAGGAATTGGAATTGAATGGGAAACAATAGATTTAATAATGTTTTTGGATCTTGTCAGACGTCCCAGTTAGCTACTGCCAATGTGTACCCAGGAAGTTTCTAAATCAAGAAATGGTAAGTTAAGTCGAACATTTTGGAAAGCTGACACCTGACTTTGCTCTACTGGATCGAGGGCATCTTGTTCAGTGCTCAGAGTGCTATTTGATACCCTTCTGGCCTCCATACTTCCGGGAGAGTGGCCTTATTAGCCTGGGAAATATCTTATGGCATGTTAATATGGAGGTGCTGACTACTATGGAACAACAGTACGCCACACGAGGGTGACATTACTGATTTGGGATGGAAACGTCATAGGATTCGAAAGTTCTGATAGCAATGATGATGAATTTTCCCAGTCGAGCCACACATTCACTTGGCATCCCTTGGACTCGGTGATAAACATTTTATGAGTAAAGCTCAGTGTGACCTTGCCGAATAAAGCTAAAGAAGAAGAGTAACTTCCACGTGGTGTGTGACTTTGCTGTTGTGAGGGGCTGCTGGGTCCATTCTGACGCATCGCGACACTGTGCACAACAGAGAGAAGCACCCCTCCCTTGTCGTGTGCCATCCTCACAATTGTCCTCACGTTGGCATTGCTGCAGCCATGGTGTCAATCCATCTGGTGGAGGGCTTTCCTCTTTTTCACTGCCCTCTCCCCCACTTTACCAAGCATGATGTCCGTTTCCAAGACCCGGTCTCTCCTGACAACATGTCCTAAGTACGTAAGACTAAGTCTTGCCATCTTTACCTCTAAGGAGCATTCTGGCTGTACTTCCAAGTTATTCCGCGAGCTCAAAACTTTGTGAAAGAAATGATATAATTGAAGGACGAGGTAAGACAAAAGGGGAAATACTATGAGCCCGTAATTAGAACCATCAGGGGTTGGGAAAGGAGAACATGGGTATTATTGCTTATGAGGCACTTGAGTTTTTGTTGAAGTGATATTTGGAAATAATAATGGTTGTACAACCTCAGAACGACAACAACAACAACAAAACTCACTGCCCTTGAGTCAATTTTGACTCATAGCAACCCTGTAGGACAGAGGAGGGCCTCTGTGGGTTTCTGAAGCTGTAACTCTTTCAGGGCGCAGACAGAATCATCTTTCTCCTGTGGAGAAAGTCGAGCCTGTGGTTAACAACCCCTCCACTAACCCATCACGCCACCAGGACTCCTGTGGGAGGCACAACCTGGTGGGTGCAAATGAGATCACTGCATTGAGCACTTGACAACTGATTTAAAATGGAAACTGCTCTGTTATGTATCTCGTAACACAACAAAAAATTAAAGTATGACACAGGAAATTACCTTCAAATGAACATCTAGCTATTTCCTCGGTGTGCCTCATCCTGAAGCAAAATACCTTTTAAAAGCAGAAACTTTCTGGCTAAGACAGAATTCTTCCTTGTCTTTTCTTTAATATTTAACTATGCTTCTGGCTGTAGGCTGGACATGAATGACCATGGTTGCTGCACACACCTGCTCCCCAACTTTCCATAATGAGCTATACCCCTTTATCCTCCCCCCCAAAAGACTTTGTCCTGCTTTCTTACCATGAGGAGCCTTACAGTAACCTGGCGGAAGAAGCAAAAGAAAGTACCACATTCTAATGATTTTTATGACTACCGCTTACTTCACTTTGAAATGCAGGAGGTCATATCTGACTTTCACTCTCACGATGAGATGGGAAATTCTAGCAGCGCAGTCTGATGCCTGACTTGGCACAAAACATAATTTCCTCGGCCGTTTCCCACTCCCATTGTGTGAGGAAGTCACTTTAAAGCAGAGTTCGGGCTGTCACTGTCTTTTCCTAACCAGCAGACCCGTAAAGAAGAACAAGACGAAAAGTAATAGATCAAGTTTTATATGATTTCCCCTTTCCTTCTTTTTGTATTAAGAAGAGAAGGACACCGAGTGCCAGATCGCCTTTCCTCCTCCCTGGGACGTTAGGAAATGATGGTGATTATCATAAGCCAGGCTCAACCGACCGCGAGAGCTAAGGCTCAAACTGGAGGGGACAGCACCCTCAAATCTTAGGAGATTTGAGAATAACGCGTGACCCCCAAAATGGTGCAAGAAGCTTACGAGGTAGAAAGAGCTGTTTTCTTAGAACCAGATGGTGTTCCTGAGGGAAGAAAAAGAACCCCTTCTCCTGAGCCCACAGAGCAGCAGGAGCGGGATGGAGAGTTCTAACCCAAAGCAAACGCACTGCCCTGGAGTCATTTCTGACTCAGGATGGCCCTAGGACAGGGTAAAACTGTCACTGTGAGTTTCCAAGACGGTAACTCTTTACGGGAGTACAGCCCCGCCTTTCTTCTGAGGAGCAGCCAGTGGTTCTGAATGCTGGACCTGGGGTTAGCAGCCCAACCACTATGCCACCAGGGCCCTGGGCAGTTCTAAGAGGACTGGGAAGTCCAGAACTTAGGGCTCTTCCAGCAAGTTTCTGTCCTTGTGGGAGTGTTGTCGACTTAGGAATACAAACTAGAACAAAATGCTCGTTTCTGTCTAACGATGATTCCCAGGATAGGGAGCGTGAGATCTGGGGTTTAGAAACTCTCCTTCTTGCCCTTTCTGAAACTGCTCTGCACACAATCTGTGAGCAAATCATCCAACACAGTCGTCGTCGATGTGAGAATAAGGACAATAAAGTGCTGTTGTGTCCACATCGTGTATGTGAGAACAAAATGAGATGAGCAATAAGCCAGAGACCGAAACATTTACATTTTACTCACTGTCTAGGTCTGCCTGCCGCGTGAGATTGCAAATGTCTCCCCTCTCCACCCCCCTTGCCCAGGCTTGACTCTTCCCACAATACCTACTTCATGACCTAGTGATACAACAACGCTTAATGGCACTAAACAGACCCTGACTACACTTTGATATGATCAACCAGAACAAGGGTAAGAATTGAGAAAAATAACCCAAGCTCATCTATCCCGGATAGTGATGTGGGAAGTGGCCACAAGCATCAACCAGAGCAACACCGGTCTGCCAGGGGCATTTGATCTGCCCGTTTGTCAGAAACGAAACAGAACCAGCTCCTGCTGACCGTGTTCGGTGACGTTGAAGTTCATCCCACGCACCGCTCACCTTCAACAGCTCAGTTTGCTCTTGAGCCACGTTTTCCAGCAGCCTGACATCTTGTACCAGCTGGGCGGTCCGCTGAAACACAGGCAGAGGCTTCAGGCCTCTCTGCGGTAAACTCAGTTCCGCTTGGTACGATACGATCTCAGCGATGGTTTTCTTCATGGGCCGTAGATTTTCAAGTATGACCTTCAATTACAGAAAGGAAAAGCAAATGGCATATGTAAAAAGGGGGAGCGAGGCACTGCTCGACTTAATGATTTGAAATGAAAACAATGTAATCAGGCTTCATAGAGTCTATTTTTGTTTTGTTTAATCATTTTATTGGGGGTTCGTACAACGCTGATCACAATCCATCCATCCATCCATCCATTGTGTCAAGCACATTTGCACATTTGTTGCCCTCATCATTCTCAAAACATCTGCTTTCCACTTGAGCCCCTGGCACCAGCTCCTTATTTGTCCCCTCCCTCCCCGCCCCCCCATCCCTCATGAACCCTTAATTATTTACAAGTCATTATTATGCTGTCATCTCTTACACTGTCCAATGTCTCCCTTCACCCACTTTTCTGTTGTCCGTCCCCCAGGGAGGAGGTTATATGTAGATCCTTATAAATGGTTCCCCCTCCCTACCCCAGCTTCCCTCCACCCTCCTGGTATCACCCCTCTCAGTACTGGTCTTGAGGGGTTCATCTGTCCTGTATTTCCCGTGTTTCCAGTTCCCATCTGTACCAGTGTTCATCCTTCCGTCCAGCTTGGTGCCCTCTTGACCAGAACCCTCACAGTTTCTATTTTTAAGCATTTGTTTAACCCAGATTCAGCATGGTTACATGTTTGTGATCTGGTCATTCACGATCTCATGAAAGGCTGGCTGGAATAAGAGCAAGCTACCAGCACCCAGTTACCCCTTGGGTCAAACCTTTCCTTCCTTCCCTCCCTTCCTCTCTCTGTAGAAAAGTTTTACTTGGTGTATTGTCACAGGCGGGGAACAATATCAGCGCAGGTCCTCTATCTTAGCTGCCAACAGCTAGCGCAGGGCTTTCCACATAACAGGACTGTTAGGTAGCAAAACAGGGGGTTGGTCCGCTCCATGCCTAGGGGCCCCCTGCAGGAGGTTGGAAGCCAATAAAAGTTAAAGGGCATGCGCCAATTCAGGCCCTTGAGCCAGGTGAGCTTAATTCAGCCAATGGGGTCAGCCAGTACCGTTGACCATGCCTCCCAGCTGAAAGCCCTAAAAGTCTGAACCTGGAGACCACTGCCCTCATTTTTTCCAGCTGCTCCTTGGCCTTCCAGTAGTCTCTCTCCCCCTCCCCCTCCCTCTCCCCCCCTCTCTCCTCAGGCCACCACGTGTGGGTGTGCAGCTCCATGAGGGTGCCTGTGTTCAGTTAACTGTAAAACCTGAGACTTCTATCCTTTATAAAAACCCACTTGGATCACAAACCAGGCGTCAGTGTAAATTCTTTCTCAAGTGAAGGCAAGAACCGAGGTATTTCCCATCTGAGGAATCTAAAAGGACCGCAAAACGCACATTTAAAAATTGAACTCCAATGTCTTGTCAAATTCCGTGAGCTCTAGAAACCCACTGTCACTGAACCAATGCTGACTTATCACTAGGGTTTCTGAGGCTGCAAATCTTTCCAGGAGCATCTTTTTCTGCGGAGCATCTAGTGGCTTTGAACCACTGACTTTGCAGCCTGTAGTCTTCAGCTTACTCCTAGCACCGCCAGGGCTCCTTATGAGTCCCAGAAGAACACCATGAACCTACTTTGCTTTACTACTATCGGATCTGTAGGGATTTGGATGTACACCACTGGCGTATTAGAAAAGTTAGCCGGTGTACTTTGGAGAGACTGTGTGTTCAGACCCAGACGACCTCAGTAAACAGATATCAAAATAAGCAAGTCACATGCCTACAAAAGTTGATTACACCATACTCCAGTCTACCCAATGTACACGGAAAGCATGAAAGGGTTGAAATATTGTGAGACTCACCCAAATGTGACGGAGACATGAAGTGAGCCCATGCTGTTGGAAAGATGGCAGTGATCCACATGCTCAACACAAGCGCACGACAAACGTTCAATTTGCTTAAAAATGTAACATCGATGAAGTACAGTCACAAGTAGGCTTGTATTTCATTTACTAGGCATTTCTGTTTCATTCCATCCTTGCTACCCCCCTGGGAGGGATGTAGTCAAAACCTCCATTTCACACATAATCAGAGACAGTGGGATACCCAGGCAAGGTTATACAGCAGAGAGAGGGCTGGGAGTAAAGCCAGGGAGTGCCAGATCTCGACACATGCTCTTACTCAGCAGGCTCAGGGAGAATGAAGGTTTATCTGCTGCTTGGTAGATTCCACCTCCTCTGCTAGGGGGCTATCTAGACCATTGTTCAGTGTAATCACCTCATATCAATTTAGAGGCATGACAGAGAGTCCAAGCAGAGACAGTTATCTAATGATTCAAAGTCACAGATGTGGTAAGTCATGTAGGTAAGACTGGCACTTAGTGCTCTTGGGGTTAGATGGTCACAGTTTTAAGAAAATTCAAGATCTGAATTTCACTGAGAGTCAAAACTTCCAAACTCTGAACTTTTAGGAAGAAATTAGGTGAAAAAAAAATAGTTTTAAAGCATACTGAATTATGATGATAACTTAATTAGAATTTAAAACACTTACAGTTATTCAAATCCAATTTTTTTCTCCCTCGCTTTACTTTGCTGGTTTTGGTTGGGTTTTAACGACAACACACTTTTACATACTAAAAAGTAGATATGGGGGGGGGGGCATGGAGGGAAAAAAGAAAAGCTGATACCTCAAATAGAAAGTAAATGTTTAGAAAATGATGGCAACATATGTACACATATGCTTGATACGATTGAAGTATGGACTGCTCTAAGCTGTAAGAGCCCCAATAAAATGATTTATATATATATATACATAAATTAAAAAATAGATATAAGTGTTATGAGAAAATACTTTTAATCATGATCCATGCTTACCTCTCCATGTTTAAGATTTTCTTCAGGTGAAAAGTCAAATATTTCTTTTGCTAACAGGATTGCTTTGATTTTTGAAACTTTCTTCTCCATTGCCTTGACTTCTGTTTCAATAGCAACCACATCCTACAATTTAAGCATCAATAAAACACTCATGGAGTTTAATAACCTATGAAACACAATCTATTGCCATTAACTCATCTCATATCTAATCAAAAAATGTTTGCCACGATTTCTCTTAAGAACTACAAAGTAGTACACAAGCAGCATGGATGCTCTCCAATCAAAATGTTATTCAATGAACAGGATGTCCCACAGTATAAGAACTGTACGGCCATTGAGCCCATTCTGACTCGTAGCACCTCTACGAAGAACTGCTTGTTCCTACGAGTAGTTGCATTAAAAATCCTCAGAGAACCACTTAGAAATCACTTTGCGAGAATACAAGTAGTATAAATACAAACCTTTTGATTTTTAAAAGAAAGTTCAGAACTATCTTCAAACTCTTCAGCTTTACCTCTGGGATGCATTTAAACACCTAAGTGCAAGTGGCCTGGCATTTTAAAAATGCCCTCTATTTGAAGTAGGTGATAAAGTCTCTCCTGGGAAAACACCACAGGAGCTGGGAGACCGACAGGATTTTCTTGTCAATCCCCTAATGAACTATTGCCAGAGAAGGAGTCCTCGACTTACTTTTTAACCTACTCAAGTAAATTTAAACAATGGATCACTTAGCCAGGGACTAGTCTCTCAACTTCCAAAGCCTGGCCAAGACTCTGAATGAAGATGCTATTAAAATAGAAGTCAAAATATGCGCTGCAAACTCCACAGATGGAAGCCCACGCGCACCACCGGAGAGCGCTCAGCCCTTCGCTTCAGAGCTCAAGTGTGGTTCTCGTCGGCAATAAGAAATTGCAGCTAAAACGGAAGAGAGCGAAAAAACGCCATAAGACTAGGCCAAAGGACTCAAGCGATAGAGGTTCTGAGGTCTTCCTACAGAAACAAACATCTTTATAGCAAATAAAGCCACAAGAACATATCTCTTTATTGTGGGGTCTCTAAATGATAAAGAAAAGTTAAATGACATTGGAATATTTTTGTCTGTGTCTTTTATTTAAGAAGCTATACAAAAGTATACATTGTATTTTAAGATCAATTCCATAAACAATTATAGAAGCATTTTGAAAGTTTGGACTACATGTCGACAACCAGGGATGTTTACTTGAACAATCATTTCCCTGAGGTTACACGAGTGTGTAGGGAAAGTAACTGAGAAACGAAAGGTAAAATAATTAGGAACTGCCTTTGTCTTCCCTGTGTGACTCTGTTCTTCAACAGAGGCCTCGCTTGTTTCAAACAAAAATAAATCAGTAAAGTCCAGTGGACACAGCAGGCCCTCAACACACGTGCTATTGTTGAATAAGAAAATTGGAACATTGTCTCTCTTAATTCCCTTCTTGTTAATCTGTGGTTTGAGTTTGACGGTATCACTTCTTACTGACAAAGGGCCATCCCTGAACTACTCTGATCTAGCTTCACCCCTTTCTAAGCAGCCCACTACTGGATGAAGAATGGGGATTTGATTTCCTGGTGTAGTTGTGCCGGACATTGCCAATACAGTAAACTATAACCCAGGAAATAGGACCACGAGTTTATCCAATCAAATTGTCTTCCACATAAGTAGGTGTGAATTAGCACTAGATTGTGACTTATTAAATGAAATGGAAATTTAAAATAAGAGTTCACATCTTTTCGGTGCAAACTTACATCAGCCATCCGCTGAATCTGTGGAAGGCTGTCCATGATTCTTTGTTGTAAAGTTGTCACTTGGCTACTTAGCAGCTGTACTGACTGTGCTAAGTCATCCGTTTCAAAAATTATGGAGAGGTCTTCCAGATCTGAGAAAATGGAATATAAAAGATTGTGCTTCTGTTCCGAATCTTCCAAAGCCATCTGGACAGGGAAAAGCAACAGGGAAAGAAAAAGGAGGCAAATTGATAACGGGAAGTGTGGCAGTTACATCAACTTGAAAGCATATAAAAGTGTAGGGCTGGTAGTCAACTGGTCACTCGGGTCACAGCCTGGTGGGACCTCCTTGTGGGCGTGGCCTTCTCATAAGAAGGGCCCTGGGAGCCTCCTCGTCTCCCCCTGCCCCCTGCCTTCCCCTCCCTGCTGGCTGAGCCTGATTGCTGCCAGTGCCCTGTGATGGGTCCACCGCCATTGGATCTGCGCGACTCAGCACCCCCAAGCCTGTGATATTCCTGCATTCTGCCCCCAAACCAGTCGCCATGGCCTTCTCTGAATTGAATTTAATTGGCCCAGCAGATGCCCTCGAACCATTTAAGAAAACAAACACACCAAATTCACTGCTTTCGAATACCTTCCGATGCATAGTGATCCTTTAGGATCCTTTAGGGTAGGACTGCCCCTGTGGGTTTACCAGACTGCAACTGTCTATGGGAATACAAAGTCTCATTTTTCTCCCACAGAGTAGCTGGTGGTTTTGAACTGCTGACCTTGTGGATAACAGCCCAACATTGTAACCCACTATACCACCAGAACTCCAGGCTTTTTTTCAAAGAAACCCTTAAAAATAGAGAAATGCTGAGACATGTGTTGTTTGAAGTGAGCCAGGGCTTGGATGAACAAGAACTGTAGTAGCAATGACTTTTGACTTAACTGTTCCTCTATTCCCCAACTGGAATCAACCCCAATCGTGTTATTTCCATACAACAGAACGCTACTCGGTTATCAGAAGAATGATCTGCTGATACAGGTAACAAGCTGGATGAATTTCAAAAGCATTATGTAAGGCATTCGTGTAGAAAAGGCAAACTTATCATGATACAAAAAAAGACGGGGGTGATTACCTCGGGCTGGAGACAGTACTGGGGGTTACAAACTAAGCTTATCCAAAGTCATCGCAGAGCACACTTAGGATGGGTGTATTTCAGTGTATGCAAATTATACTTCAATAAAGTTGGGTGAAATATTTTTATTTTAAAAGCCAGTTTATGCTTCAATCATTCTGAATTACAGAAGCAATATTTGTGGGATCAACAATTGGCAATAAAATCATTTTATTATAAATACAACTTGGGCAAAAGGTGATAGAGCAATTTGAAGAAACTTTTAATTTAAACTTGATTGCTTAGAAGAGAGATTTGAAACATCTTTAGATGTCATTTTAAAAATCAGGGCTTGGAACAAAAAGAATAAGGTATCCTGTAAGGAGGATGACTATTTTCAGTAAAGGGCTAAGATGCACTAATCATATACAGGTAGTTATTTTAGAAGGACTTCTGTTTGAAAGATGCTATCAGGTTGGTCCTCTAGCAATAATTGCCTGTGGGAAAAAGAACTGCCCCTTCCCATGCCCCTGCTTTTCCCACCCAGTGGCAGCTGATAAACAAAGCCTAGCATTTCAAAATGTTCTGAGATTTGGGGCTTTGAGGGCCATCTTTGAATTTTATTAACAACCATCTGTCAACCTCATCCAGTGCAACACTCTTACTCAAAGATGGGAGGAAGTGAAGCTCATGGAAGAGAATTAGGTATCCAAACCATGAAGTCATGATCAGGATGAAAGAAGTAGACTCTAGTCTCCTATATCCCTCTGTCCAGTGCCTTTCACCCGCCCAAGCTTCTTTATGGTGCTTGGGAAGATTGCAGGTAAAGCACAGAAATCATCATGGTCAGCTGAGCTACTACCACATGGACTCTATGAATCCCTCAAACCATTGAAAGAACACTTACCTGCAGCTTGCTAGCATGCTGACTCAGCATCTTGGAAGAGTCATAGTCTACAGGATTGACCAGCAAACTGGTATTTTCTATCCAACCTTCAATGCTCTTCAAAAGGTCATTATATTCCTCCATCTTAATTGTGGCCTGAGAAAGAGACATGGACTCAATTCAGCCTGATCCCTTTTACTTGAGTTGGATGATTCCTGGAGAATCCACTGCTGTTAGCAGTGCTATATCAGGCCTTGCACGCTCCTCTCTGCATGCCTGGGGCCATCTGGCACCACCCTTCTCCTCCCGCTCCAAGTTAGTCTTTCCAATATAAGTCTAAACCTGACCACAAGGGGGAAGGCTATAAGTCATTCTATCCCAACTTTTGCCTCGGCAAGTTTCCAGCTGGAGTCTGGAACTACCAGGAGTTACTCTTTATTCCAGACTTCCATCTGAAAACTAGACTCGTACTTTGTCCTCCTGCTTGCTGTAGACCTTGTCTTTCTTTAAGACCAGGATCCTATCTTGCTCTTCCTAGGTCACATATACGACCCACCCACTCAGGACCCCTACTTGGAAGAGAGGGTGTATTTTGTTTCCAAATGGATTTTTCTTGTAGTTGGCTCCCTTCCTGGACCCAAGATTGAGCAATTTCCAATACTGGTCTTCCCACCTACTGGGAAGCACAAAGCTTTCCTGGAGTCCTGCTGTGGTTTGACTTTTACATAATCTGGGCTTCTGTTTGCCTGCTCAGACTTCCGACCTGCGGAAGGCCTAGCTAAGGTCTAGCATGTCTGATTCGTGAGCTGGGCACCACTTGAGTCATTTCTGTTAGCCAGCTCTGTTTCCACCGCCTGCTGTGAGAACCCATTCTACAATCTTCAACTAATTGCATTGATACACCTTCATGTCAGTCCCAACGGTGAGGCTGTCAGCTTAGTGCCCACTAGGCTCTTGCCTCCGGTCTGAGAAATGGCTATACAGAGGAAGCAGACTGCCTCTCTATATTTCTGTTTGTTTGAAACCCATCTCAATGCTATCACGTGATCTCTAGCTATGATGTGTTGCAGCCATACCTTATTTAACTGTGAGGTTCTCGATTCTGCTCTCTGTGCTACTTGCTGATACTGCTGCAAGGGGATCATCAAATTATCCATCCATTCTTGAGCTTGCCCTGGGTCCTGTTCCACAGTGTCCTGAACTTCAGAATCCAGCTCATTCAGTTTCGCATGCCAGAGATCTAGCTCATCCCACATTTTCTGGAGAAGGAAATCATCAATCAACTTGAAGGAGGACATCATGGTAGACTGTGCTAATGCCTAGTTTGCAACTCATATTTGCCCTTGCAAATCCTACCAAAGCACCACCACCACCGCCACAGCTTTCCATTTATGGCGAGTAACCACCCGTGATGCAATATGGGAAAAGCACCTGGTCTCAGCTCCTTCACTCGAACTGCATTTATTTGCGTTGGGATTGGCAGGAGAGGAGCAGGAAGATCCGGGCATTTCCAGAGGTGAACGACAGATGACAAGGCCAACGCAACCCTGACTTTTTAATAGTGACGAGGTCATGTTATAAGGGGCTGGGTGGAACTTGAAATCTGCTAAAAACAGAACTAAGAACAGTTCTGATGGGATTAAAGTTGTGGCAGAAAGTGCTAGGCGCGTGTACTATCCTTTCCATGTACCGAGTTGACCCGGGACTTGAGAAGGAGAACTGCATGTAACATGGCCAGTTTTACCTAAGAGTTTCCTCCCGAAGATGTTTCTGAAGGGAAATTAATTTGAAATTTCTATTCTTTTTTTTTCTTTCACAGTCTAAAGACAAGCTTTTAATACTTAATATCCTCATTAATTATGGCATTCCCAAGACATTACGAAAAGGCCAGTTTTGCCATCGCAGGCTCTCTCACCATTTGGGAAGATTCCCACCACGGGGAAAGCTAAGAACAACCCCTTTCAAGTGCAACCTTTGCCACAACGTCTCTGGGAGGTGGCACTGCGAGTGTGCCAACACTGGAATGCAGGCTGAATTGTGGGGAATAAAAGAAGGTTGGTACCTTTTGCATTTCTTGAGCCTTCTCAATGCTTTTGCTTTTCTGCTGCAACATCTTTTCAACGTTATGAAGCCCGTTGTTAATTTCTTCAATCTTTCTAGTCATTGCATATGAGGGTGAGCTTTTCGAGACTTCGCTGCTAATCTGTTACCAAGAAGAAGGCACATTTGGCTGAGAGGTATTTTCAGTATCCCAACAAGTAAATGGATAGTCATTCTGCTATGTAATTCTACTTATAACATTTTTTTAAAGATGATGGGAACGTAAAGCAAATGTGTGGTATAAAAGTGGATTAGCAGACTCGGAATCCCTTGCAATCCCACAATCCCTCTGCGGAGCAGATACCCGAGTGAAGTAAAAGCCAGAATACAAACAGGCAGAGTTACCCCTGTCTGCATCAGAGCATTGATCACAACAGCTAGAGGATGGACAGACAATGGAATACTAGGCATTGCTAGAAAAACCAACGATGAAATCACAAAGCGCCTCATGGCATGGATGGACCAGGAGGACACTGTGCGGAATGAAATGAGTGGATGACCAAAGGACAAATATTCTATGAGACCTCCATTAAAAAGAAAACAAGCAACAAAAAGCCTTTTATGCCAAGGTAACAGATTTTAGCGGTTACCATGGAGGGCAACCAGGGAAGGCGAAGAAGCAATGGGCTGGAGGGTGGACAGCTGGTGAGCTCGGTGAAGGGGAAGACAGTAATTCATCAGAAGGAGAGGCAAACTCGAAGATGGAAGGACAGGATAAACTATGGTGGGGATGGAGGGGCTGAAAGTGTCGCTAAGAGGCCTGCAGGAGCGAATGTAAAGTGGATGGTGTGAAATGCAAGCCCTCCCTAATTGACAATTAAAAACAATTTTTTTTAAACCGATGAACAGAAGTAGTAAAATGAAATCCCGAATAAAATAAATAAATAAAACGAATACACAAAATGTGTTGAATGTAATCTAGGAGATGTATCGAAGATAATGTGTGTGCTGAATTGAGCAAAACCACTGAGTGGAGTGTTCAAAACATACCCCGATCAGTCAAAGAATCTAAGAGCGGTCTGGGAGATAAACGATTTATGCCACACACTCTGCACTTGATGAGAAAATCTCTGCACAGCCCTGTTTCCATTAAAACCAAACGACTCTCCAGCTAATGAAAGGACACAAAACCACCACCTTCGTATTCATTTGCGCTAAATAACTTTGGAAAATGAGCCATTTCTCGGGAAGGCACAGAGCTTAATTTTTCCTGTGTGAATGTCCCAGTATCTATTTTTACAGCAATCGGAATTCTAGCAACAGTAATTTTTTTATCAGAATGATTTTCCTAAGAAAATAACTTTTGCTGAAAGAGATAATAAAGGGATGTTGCCAGTATCCTCCCCTCTCTCGCCCCCCAATGTCTGATTGGTTTGTGTTGTTTTTCTTTAAGCTATGTTGATAAGGCTTTCTTCAGGCAGCCAGTAAATCACCAAATAATGCATTGTGCCCTGTGTGTACTCCATTCAATTCTCAGAAGAACCACTATGTCTAAAGAGATCATATAGAGATTGGAAAACTGAAGCAGGAAACTTGATTGAGGCCACGTGTCAAGGTAGTCCTTGAACTTGTCCTGAGAAGCCCCGAATCTGTAGCCTCAATCCCAGGCACTACCCACAATGCCAGACTCTTGCTCCTTATATATCTTATCTGTGTTCCACAGATCCTCACGGTGCCAAGGCTGCTGCTTCGATCCTGTATTGGTTTTCTATCACTCTGTGACAAATTACCACCAAACAAAGTGTTCAACAGTCTGGGCTTTTTCTCTATGGCAGAAATTAATCTCACTTAGGTACATTAGAAGAAAACAATTTTTGTTTTATTTTTTTTGGCTTGTTTCTTTTTATTTATTTAATCATTTTATTAAGGGCTCATACGACTCTTATCACAATCCATATATACATCAATTGTGTACAGCACATTTGTACACTCATTGCCCTCATCATTCTCAAAACATTTGCTCTCCACGTTAGACCCCGACATCGGGTCCTCATTTTTTCCCCTCCCTCCCTGCCACCCCCTCCCTTATGAGCCCTTGATAATTTATAAATTATTATTTTGTCCTATCTTGCCCTGTCTGACGTCTCCCTTCACCCACTTTTCTGTTGTCCGTCTCCCAGGGAGGAGATTACATATAGATCCTTGTAGTCGGTTCCCTCTTTCCAACCGACTCTCCATCTACCCTCCCAGTATCGCTACTCACACCACTGGTCCTGAAGGGATCATCCGCCCTGGATTCCCTGTGTTTCCAGTTCCTATCTGTACCAGTGTACATCCTCTGGTCTAGCTAGACTTGCAAGGCAGAATTCCAATCATGATAGTGGGGGGGTGGGGGTGGAAGCATTTAGGAAGTAGAGGAAAGTTGTATTTTTCATCGTTGCTACATCACACCCTATCTGGCTCGTCTCCTCCCAGAGACCCCTCTGCAAGGGGATCTCCTGTGGCCTACAAATGGACTTTGGGTCTCTACTCTGCACTCCCCCCATCATTCACTATACAATTTTTGTTTTAAAGGAGTCATTTGAATGAAACAGAATGGCTGGCAGAATGGATTCTACCTTGAAATAAGTCAACTAAGACAAATCAGTTGCTGTTGCTACAAATACACAAGTTGCAGCTGAAATTTTCAACCCTAGATTTGGACGATTGATTTTGATTATTAATTCCCTTGAAAGGGGGAGTCATTTGTATTTGAAATATTCTTGAGAACAATATTTAGCTCTCAAAACATTTAGGATTGTCTTAAAATAAAATCAATAGTCCATGACACGTGAGAGTAACTCATAGCAGATTTCCTTGTGAGTTAAACCTGTAAGATTTGCTACACACATATATTAGTTGGCATGTTTTTGACATGGGTCAGATCATCCTCAGAAAGCTCTCTCATAAATTAGAGATGTATTCTCACATCTAAGTTTGAAATCTGATGTTTTGATAACATTTAAGGTCCAATTTACTTATCAAGCTATATTAACACCCCTAATAATGTAACCACTAGATATAGTAGGATTACTATAGCATTCTAGGCTCCGAAGGCAGCCTATTACTACTTTGTGATTTTTGATGCCAGACCAGAATTTTGTTCTGTGGGATCCAGTCTGCTGGTTTATAATTCAATCAATTGTCTTGCTAAGCGCTTGTCTCTCCAGTCCTATAAAACAATGATGCCCTTTTCTTCAAATCTGGCTTTCGGGTACAGCGATTTGCCCAGGTCTGTTTTATGAGAATTCTATCATCATTACAGCAGGTTCTGTGCTGAAAGCAATTCAGTATGAGTCGTGAAATCTGTATTCATATTGCCCTGGGTTCCAATTTCAAGCATTTACTATAAAGACCTTTTGAAGCCAAGTTCTGCTCGTGGACAAAACTTTGAGTGTTTCTGGTGTAAAAGACAACAGTGGAGTACAGTGTGATTTGTACGTCTTCTCTTTTAAGTGCAGGAGAAGAAAAACACCTTGAAAACTGAAAACAAACAGACCACCGAATTCTGTGACCCTGTCACTATCTCAGAGAGCCTTCATCCCAACAGACATTTCCACACAGTTATCAACCAAGCTCTACCAACGGTCTCCTTCTCTGTTCTTTCCCTCCGCAAGTGAACAGCAACAGGACCACAGACAGGACCATTACCTTCTCATCTAGGGCTTTGAGAGTTTTTCGGCATTCTTCCATCTGGGATTCAATCTCTGCCGGGACTATGGTATACAGCTCCGAATACTTGATTCGCGATTTTTCCATCATCTCCTCGAAGGCCAGCTGCCCTTTCTTAAGATTGCTCTGAAGCTCCTGAAAACATGAGCAGAAGTTTCATCACGCACCAGGCGGAGGGGCAATGGTTCTCCCCCTCACGGGGGAAGCCGCCTGCCGGCACATCCGGTGCCTAAAATGACCTAACTGGGCGTGGCAAGACTTCACCATTGATGCACAGGGACGAAGCCTGGGAGAGACTCAGGTTGGTCAGATGACGCCTTCTAATTTGTAAGAATTAAACTTGATACCTCTTCGGAGTGTCAGACCATTGTTGTGGAAAGGCATGACAACATCCCCTGCTTCTGAAGTAGCTCCCGGTAGAATTGTGTCTCAGTTGGCAGTCCTGAGCTAAAAAAGCTGCAAGTCGCGACACGTTTCAAAGAAGTTTTTCTTTTTTGGAGGGGGGTGAGGTGGGTAGGAGTTGTTTGTTATTAACTTGTTGCCATTTCTGCTGCTTTCTCCATTATCATCACAATGACTCAAGGCCACCGAAAGCCCTAGGCTTGAGCGACAAGTGTCTGCTTTCATCTAATTGGACAGCCCCCGCCGGGGCTCAGCTTCCTTGCACAGGGAGGGTTCCGGTTCCAGCACAGAATGTAGGTTTGGGGAGATAAACGACCTGAACAAATGGGCTATTGGCTGTGGCCTAGAAACCAAATCTGATCTCTGTTCTCCCGCAGTAATTATACAGGAGAAACTCGTTTGTTTGGGAAAATTTCCCAAAGATCAAGTGGAAAAGTACTTCTTGACTTTACTATGGTTCCCCACCCCCCACTCTCCTTTTCACAGTAGCTGTTCCGAGCATTATGTGTGTGAATGGATTGAGTCACTGCACTGAAGAATGATTACAATTTTAAAGGACTCTGGTGGGCCACTTTCCTTTCCTCCATCCTCTGTAGAGAGCAAATCGATTGAGGAAAAGACGAGGGACAATGCCGTGCCAACAAAAGGAGAGCTCAAGGTTTTGGTCCTGTGGGACCTCCTCTAGTCCAGGGGCCTCAGTCTCCATTCAGAGGTACACAAGGATGGCTTCCCTGCAAACTGCTGCTAGGAATTACTTTACTTTTTCAACATTCAGGGACCCAACAACATACAACTTTTGAATAAACTTCCAAACGTGTTTGTTTTTTTAAAATTATTTTATTGAGGGCTTGTACAATTCTCATCACAGTCCATACATACATCCATTGTGTCAGGCACATATGTACATTTATTGCCTCGTCA